TAGCAAAACAGCTATAAGCACCTCAAAAATACTAAACAATAAAGATAACTTAACACCAAGCACTAACTCAACTAATACAGAATATCAAAATCTTAACATTACAAATATAGAAAGACCACCCAATATAGAAACTATATTAATATTACAATATACAATGTCTAAGGAATTAATGACAAACTAAAGTATTAAGTCTAGTTAGAATTTTGTCAAGAACAAGATCTACATATAATTAGTATGACTGAAACAAAGCTCCCAAACTCAACCTACTCAGAGCTCAATACTGCAAACCTCTTCTACTACCTATATACATCAAATTGTGACAGTAATACAACTAAGAAACAAAAAGCAAGTATGAGAACAGCTATAGCTATCACTAAACCTCTTCGACTCTACATCCACAATATTCAAGTGCCAAATAATGCTGCTATCTCAATTAACTTCTTCTTCCCTCAACATAACAAAGTTAGAATAATCTCAGTATACATGCTATCAAACAACTCTGAGTTAAAAAAACAAACCCAAAACACAATTTCAAATTAGATAAGATTTGCTAATAGCAAAAACTATAACATAATTATTATGGGGAACTTTAACTATGACAGTACAAGGGATTCAAAAACAAAACTACCACTTCTCCAAACTCTAGCAAATAGTAGCCTGCATAGTTCACTTCAATACTTCAATATCATCACACCTACCTAGTCAAGACAAAATAGAAATAGCCAAATTAATAACATATGGATATCGAATAATATTATACATATGTTCTCCTTACTAGAACTAATTAGCACTGAAAACATCACAAATAGTGATCACAAAATAGTCATCTCAGCATGGAGCTACAATTTATATATTAAAAACTCAAGAAGTAAACAATGAAAATGCACTATATACAAATATGACCAAATGACAAAAGATAGCTGGGAAGACTTTTCTACCTCTATAACAGGAATACTAAATAAAGAAGAGCTAAAACAACTGATAACTAATGAAGCAGACCTTAACAAACACTAGCACTACTTTAATGAAGCAGTAAAAACAGTAGCTAAAAAGAATATAACAATGACTAAAGTTAGCATACATCAAGTATATACATTCTCAAGTAAGGCTACACAACTACACACCTCATTCCAAAAAATCAACTGAATACTCAGACAACTTAACTACAGTAACGAGACAAAAACAAATCAATCTATAAACCTAGAGTATATAAATAATGAACTAAAATATATAAGCAAAAATACTAATAGTGAAACTATAGAGATCACTAATAGTCAGCTGATGAATAGTAACATTATTTCAATGATTCATAAACTAAAAGACCTCCAAAAAACAATATATGTAGCAAGAAAATTAGAAAACAATATTGCGTATAATAACAAAATTAATCAACACCTAACTCAAAGATATCAGAACTTCAATACTAATACCTCTAGAATGATCAATAGCATTTTGCAAAGACAATCTGATCCTGTAATTATCTACAATATTACTACAACAGATAATATAATTATAAGCCCTAGTGGAATCAGAGAAGAAGTCAAGGCCTATTACGAAGCTTGAACAAAACAAAACCTATCCAACTGACAGCATTGGAATAACTAGAAGGAGGACTACAAACCTATCAAACAAGTTTCAGCCAAGTAGTATAAAGATACAACTCAATCTATAACAATAGACAAACTCAATATAGCTATTTAAAATGCACTGATTAATAAAGCAACGGGACCACAAGGCATATCTAATGAAATGCTTAAGCATTTAAGTACCTACAGTACTCATATACTACTAAATATTTTTAATGCTTGCATTAGCCTGTAGCAAATTTCAAAAATGTAAAGGCATGCTAGCATATACCCAATCTCAAAAAAACTAAAGTTTACTAGCAAGCTTATACATATCCAACTGATATCACTCATTGAGCCTACAAAGAAGATATTTATAAAGTTAATTACCAACAGAATCACAAATGTACTTTGCAGATATCTAATATTGAGTAAACACAACTATGTCACTCTACCCAATACTTCTACAATTCTACTAATCTTCATATTAACATATATTATCAATGATGCACATACGAGTAAAAAAGAATTATAGATGCTATCCTAAGATATGTCAAAGGCCTATGATACAATACATATACTACTACTCATTAAAGCATTCAAAGAATAAAGATCTTAAAAGAAATATGCAATCTAATCAATAACATCTTCATTTAAAGGTATAACTCTGTAATTACAAACTAGAAAACTACTAATCTATATCTAGTTCATGATGGAATAGACCAAGGAGAGACAATTACCTCACTACTGTAGAGAATATACTATGACTCATTGATCAGCAGAGTCTCAAATCAATACCAAGGATATATCTTAAGCACATCATACATAGCACTGGAAAAAACAAAACAGGCATATTCAAGCTTCTCAGTACTAGCCTTTATGGATGATATGATGTAGGTTGCTAACTCTAAACAAGAGTTGAGCAGTACTTTAACTACTGCATTATCATTCTTTGCCCTAACTAATATTAAAATAAACCCAACAAAATCAGTTCTAGCAACAATAAACAGTGAACAGCACTTAGAGATCACTTTTGACAACACTAAGCTACACAGTATAAAGAAAATGGAGGCCTTTAGATTCCTTGGCTGTTGGTACTTAATTACTAAGCAGTATACACCAAACTATAATATCATCAAAAAAGAGAGCTTCAATGCACTCAACAAATTACAAACTGCAAAGATTACTGAGAAGCAAGCAATCTATATCATAAACATAGTTATACTAACTAGACTCGCATACAGAATTCAAAACACTTTTCTGCCAGATAGTACCTATACTCAAATTACAAATATATATACCAATATTGCAAAACATAAAGGAAGACTTGCTACATCAATACTATCATCAACAATTCACAACTACAAAATATACATACTAAAAAAAGCAGAGGATGTCTAGTTGCAACAATATTTTTCTACACTCATAAAGCACCTAAATCATACTGATTTTATAAACTTATCTCTAAAGATCAGATTACAATAATTACAAAACTCTGCTACTGCCAACAAGTCTATCTTAACAGATCCAGCTTGTCTATTTGACAGTACACAACATACTATGACTCTAGCTCAGATCATATACAAAATTCATAAGCTAGGAATTTAGATTACCTATAGTAGCAATAATTAGCCCAGGCTACTAGAAACAGAGGGCCAATCAATAAACATAATCATAAACACATTACCTAAACTATAGGTAATAAAAAACTACATGAACAGACTTGGACTATATTATATCAAACAATATATAGACAATATATATACATATACAACTAAATGACAACACCTACTTCAATCTACAGGAAAAATTCCTAGAGGTAGACAACCTAAATAGTACAAAATACTAAAAGAGGCTATCATCCTACAACTACCAAATATAAAAGAAAAGCTAACTTAGGTTAACTACCATTCAAAAAATAAGGACAAACTAAACAAAAAGGATTGGATAATATCCACAAATAGCCAATATGCAATTAGCAAAATTTCTTCAATAAAAAATGACAAAGCCAATATTCAGCACTAGGTACAAACAAATAATAATAACAAACTCTTGCAATATCAAGGCTACAACCTCAATGACAAAAAATTAAAAAAGAAGCACTACATCATCTAAAAAGGAATAACAAATCTAATTAAAATCTAGATAGATTGTAATTAAAACATAAAGTGCAACTTAGAAGACCTTATATCTAATCTTAGAAATACCAAGATACATAATACATCAGTATCTACAAAACAGACAAACAACAAACAAACTGTTATATAGCAAACTATCTCTGATGAGGCCACTGCAATACAACTACAAAAAATGAAAATGCTCATATTAAATAACTATAACCTTGAAGTAATTTTTAATATATATAATTATCAAAACAACAAATATATTAGTACTAGTGCAATATGGAAGATATCAAACTCATAAGTCTAATTTTATCAAACTCCCAAGAGTTGGCCAATGCAAACTAAAGCAATATATGATGCAATAAGTTGTATTTTTTTGATAGCTCCTACAAGATCCATAGTATAACCACATGTAAATTGTCAAAACATAGCAAACAAAATCAACAAGCTTAAAGTTGAACTACCTTATAAATATAGCAACAGACTCTCTCAAAACAACTAGCAGAATATAGCATCACTCAAAACTATTGCAACACAAAAAGAAATTACATGGGAAATAAACTACAACTAACACGCAGTCATTACATCTTTTTTAAATAGCACTAGATACAGTACAGAAATACAACACAACAAGGTTCAATATAATCTATTTATACTCTTCTAGCAGGATATGATAACTACACATAATCCAAAAAGGTTTATACATCATTTCTGCAATGCTCGCCAAATTGCAATTTGGCATTCACAAAACTATGTAGCCCACTGCAATATATATCATGAACTTATTAACTAGGATATGCTATATGTATATCTAAACTACTCAAAAAAACCAATGACTAGAAGTACTAATTCTAAATATTCTAATATTAAAGCCTTCAAAATTAAAATTATTTTAAATGAACTCCTAGTACTAATAACTTTACATAAAAGAAACCTACAGAAATATTCAAACCCAAAGTGCTCAAGATGCAAAGAAACTGAAGAAACTATCTTACATATATTAAACTGTAAGACAAATAGAACTAAACTTAACAACTTTATAACACAAATCACAAACAAGACCCTCACCAAATACAAAGAAAATAGTACAAACAATATCTAACTTGTTAATAATACTATTACAAGATTACTAAATACAACTACAGCAGATAGCATGTAATACAATAATTTAGAACTACTATATCTTCAAGATGTAATATGTATTAACCAAATTACAGATAAATACAAAGGGCCACACAATCTAGCTACCTATATGCTTCACAAACTCGCAAAAGCTATACATAAAGAGATATAAATTCCACAATACCAAAAGGTAGCAAACCAAATACCACAAACTCCTAAACAAATAGTAAAAACAAACCAAAAATCAAAATTTATACCAGCAAATATAGAAGAAAATGAAGACACTGAAAGACAAAAAAATCAAAAAAAGATAAACATAAAGCTCAGAATATAGAGCTCTAAATTTAGTAAAAACAATGTTTCACTGTTATTTATAGAAAAAATCATAATCTAAATGAGGTTTTGGCCCCTTTTGGTTAAGTTTGGGTTATAGATAAATTAGCCTAAGTCTTAGTTTTTAGAAGATATATATGTATTACAGATAGTTTCTAAACAATTTGTACCTATATTACTTAAATAAAGAATTGCGACATGATCTTGCTTATAAAAAAAAAAAAAAAAAAAAAAAAAAATTAATATCAATATATAAATATATTAAAGTGCTTAGGAAAATTATAAAATAGACTTATAAACTTGATTTTTATGATTTTATAATTCTTCTAATTCTCTGAGAAAATAAATATTAGAAATTTATTACTATTATTTAATAAAAACTTTTATTAGCTTAAAAAATCTGCTAATAAATTACCAATATAGTATCTATTTTCTTGAAGAATCGAGAAAATTATAAAAATAGATTTTTGTATATATTTTGAAACTTGATTTTAATAATTTTTATAATTTTTCTGATTCTCTAAGAAAATAGATATTAGAAATCTATTAGCAGATTTTTTAAGCTAATAAAAGTTTTTATTAAATAATAATAATAGATTTCTAATATCTATTTTCTCAGAGAATTAGGAAAATAATAAAAATTATTAAAAATCAAAATATCAAATCCAATTGTTAAGCCTAATTTAGGCTCAATTCTGGTTATTAAACCTAAAAATTTAAATCAGCTGAACTGAAATCTGAACATTCTTAAAATTTAGTAGAGTAAGGCTTGAAGGTTTTCACTTTGCTCCTCTCAGCTTCAGCTAATAATTAATTCAGATAATATAATCGATAAATTACTTTTTGCAGTTATATTTAATAGCTAGTTTCATATAACTTATACAAAAATAAGGGTAAATTATGCAAGAGTAGGTTATGATTAATGTAATGATAACAGTAATAGTAATAACAGATTAGTTTTAATTTAAAGTCTAATTTTAATAGATCAATAATCTAATAATGCATGTAATAATTAAATAAATAAGAAATTCAATTGAACTTATACTTGGATTTCTTGTATAAAACTAGTATGTACATAATAAAATAGAGGCACTACTTTTGTGAGTCATCTGTAAAAGAAGAAGTTTGATGTTAGTATAATTAGTGATGCTGATAATACCTTTTATCAAACTTGATAAAAGTATAAACTAGTTACATAATAGATTTATACTGTTTATATTTTTAAGGCTCAGTAAAAACTATTAAAGTATAAACTGATAAAACTTTATATCATATGATAAACTAAGAAATAATGATAATATTATCATATATATATAGTTACATTGAGCATATATTTAATTAATAAGTTAACATTGAGCATACAGTATATTTAATTTTTTTTTTCTTTTAGCAGTCACACTAATACTTTATTAGACTTCTTAACACTATACATTTTATAAAGAATTTAACTAATTTCCTAAGTTTAGCATTACTCGGTTCTTATATAGGGCCTAAGTGCGACCTGCTACACTATTTACATCAGAGATAGACTGTTTTGTCTGACTGTTGCTCTACAATAGGATACCGCCAAACTGATGATATCTTCTTATAGGGAAACAAAAAACAAAAAAAATTTTTTAAGAGCATAAAAAAAAAGAGGTATAAGGGTAAACGATAAAAAAAAACAAATCAAGAAATAAAAGATGGAAAGAATAAGGAAAGAAAAGAAAATATGAAATTTGTATTTCACAAATATCAGACAATCACATTTTAAGCCTGTAGTAGACCTTAAAAATTATAGACTATACTAAATAAGAATTACTCTACTATTTTCTTACTTAATAAAATATTTATCAAAAAACTATGTAGAAAAAAAAAACTTTGACTTGATCGTAGAAGGTTAGTATAGGCACTAGTTAGTTCAGAAGCAGTATTTTGGAGTTCTAGTATCTTCAAGGCACGTGTATAGTTGTATTTGTATTACTATTTTGTTTTTAACCTAAGTTATCAACAAACCTATTTAGGAAGTAAACACTACTAACTGTTTTGGAGATTTTACATATCGATCTTTAGGAGAAGGTAAACTGAAATGCCTACTTTTTACAAAATCCTCGAAGAAAAGTAAAGGTGAGAGGTGAACCAACTTTGTAGCTTTTGTGAGTCTTTGAACCTTTGCAGATGTTTCTTGTAGGTTTTACAGTTGTATAGAACTAA